TGCTCCAGGCTGTTGTTGGGGCAGCCGTCCTGGGAGCCCTCCACGAAGTTGGATGGCTCGTTCATGTCCTGGGGAGCGAAGGGGAAAGGACGAGCTGCCCTCGCCGCCGCGCCAGAGCCCGGCAGAAGCCAGGGGCAGGAGCCAGGGAGCCGCAGGCGGCGGCTCTGCCGGAGCCACTCACGATCCACATGCCATCGAAGGGCACTTGGTCATGGAAGTCCTTCACCATGTCGTGCCACCACTCGTGAGTCTCTGGGTTGGTGAAGTCCGGGAAGGCCGTCGGACCGGGCCAGACCTGCAGGAGGGAGGCAGCAACCGGCAAAGTCCCGCTGTCCCCAAGCCCCTGCACCCCACAGCCACCCCATTCTCCACCGTGGCCGTTCCCCGGGTATTTCCCTCCAGCTCTCGGGGCCCCACTCAAGCTCCATCCCCACGGGGACCGGGGCCGCTCCCCGCACGCACCTTCCCGATCAGGGGCTGCCCCGTGGCGTTTCGGATGAACACCCCTCGCTTCAGTCCCTCGTCATAGGGTTTGTAGGTGCCGGGAGGCCCCGAGCTGCTGATCCCAGGATCCTGGTGGGGCACAAAACCGGGGCTTCGCCAGCAAGGGCAGGGAATGGCCTCCCCCGCCCTCCTCGGGGGCAGCTCCATCACCACCCTCGCGGGCAGATGGAAACCCCGGTGCCAGCCCACGGGTGCGGGAGCCCCGGAATGGCCGGGGGTGTCACTCACCACGATCATGATGTACCTCAGCCCGCGGCGGTGGAAGTCCCGCACCATCTCCGGGTAATCCTTGAAGCTTTTCTTGTTGAAGGTGAAATCCCTCTTGGCATCCGCATAGTCCAGGTCATTCCACTGCACGTCCTGGGGACGGCGGCACCGGTGCTTGGGGAGGAGCAGGGACCCCCCACCCATGGGGACTCCCCGGCACCTCTCCACAGCCGCTTTTGGGCAGAGGCTCCCGGGAGCAGCTGAGACCTACCAGGGGGAAGCGAGCTGCCGTCATGTTGGCCACGACCTGCCGGGTGATGTCGGTGGAGGAGTAGCCCCAGCGGCAGAGGTGGAAGCCCAGGCCCCAGTACGGGGGCATGAAGGGGAACCCTGGAAGCCAGGAGGGTGGGTGCTGGCCAGGCGGGCGCAGGGCCGGCCCAGCACCACGCTGCCTCGCATCCCCCCCACTCGCAGCATCCCAAGAAAGCCACCGCGGTGCCCCCCGCCTGCGGCTCGGCCCTACCGATGACATCCAGGTACTGTCGCACCACGCTCTTGGGGTCAGGGCCCAGGAAGACGTAGAAGTCGAGGATCCCGCCCGTTGTGCGCCAGGTCAGGGCCGGGCTGGGCTGCAGGAGCACGTCTGGGGGAGCACAAGCGCCCGAGGAACGACGTGAGGACAGGGACAGGGGTCGAGCCCGCGCCCGGCACCTCTGTGGGACTCACCCATCGCGTTGCTGTTCAGCAGAAAGACGCCATGAGCCGACCCATCGTCCTCCATCCCCAGGTAGAAAGGGTGGGAGCCGTAGAGGTTGACCTGGGGCTGGGGCAGAGCACAGGGCAGTGTGGCACAACACCCACCCCCCGCCGGCCTCGAGCAGCCTCAAGAGGTGGAAGCCCAGGGCTGGTGGCCCCAAACACCCCCTGAATTCGGCAGAGCTCTGCCTCAAGCCAGAGCCCTGGCCCGCGCCGGGGAACGCGGGGCTGAGCAGCACCAAGCCCTCGGGGGGGACACGGGCCCATGGGCTCGCATGGGGCTGAGGCCAGGGCCCAGAGCTCCGCCGGCGCCGTTCCCGGCCCCAAATAATGACGTGAAGAGGCGGCGGGGCCACCCCAGCAGGTGAGCCCTTGCCCCCGGCCCCGCTCCGTACCGCGGGCGCCATGTCCCGGTTCCAGAGGGTGACCCTGGTCCACGTCGTGTTGAGGACCAGCGGCGTCAGGTGCTCCCCCAGCCCAGAAATGAAGCGGGAGGGCAAGGAGGTGGAGATCTGCAGGAACTGGTCTGCGAAGAAGAGGGGCGCGACGGTGGTGTTGAGCCTGTCGGAGAGAGGGGGGGTGCTCCGGCAACCGGCCCCGGCAGCGCCCAGTGCCCGGGGAGGAGGGAGGCGCCGAGCTGGGAACCGCCAGCCCCGGGGAGGGACACGGGGGCTCGTCCCCCCGTGAATCAAACCCCCATTGTGGCCAAGCTCCGGGGTTCCCGCGTCCCTTCCCAGGCACCCAGCTGCAGCGGGGGCCCAAGCAGAGCCCCCGCGGCCACCGACGGCCACGCTGCTGCCATCCCCCGTGTCCCCCGTGTCCCCTCCTTCGGGGAGGCTTTGCCGGGCTCGGGGCACTTACAGCACCCGCCCGCCGCGCTGCCGGTAGACGAGGAGGCCGAAGGGCTCCGGGCTGACCCGCACCCCGTAGAGCGCAGAGGCGGCTCGGCCGCTCGCCCGCGGCG